GTTTTTACTGGTGTTTTCCTATTTATAGGTGAAGGGTGTAAAGTTTTCGCTGTTAAAATACTTTCATATCCAAATTTGACATTTAGAGATAACTTTAAGCCATTTATTGGCTGACATCTCGAAGAGTAAAATACTGTAGCCAACTTTTTAACTTCTAGCTCAACAAAGCATATCACTTTTGTGGTGGTGTTACCTGTTTGCTCAAACATTGGAAGTGGGTTTGGGGTGTGGTGAAGGTTTGAGTGTGCGGGAAACCTGTTTGGAAACAATAATTATTTTGTGTTTGGTACCAGTGGTTTGTTTGGTACCGCCAGTGTCTCAGAAATTATACACTTCACCTTTAAAATTTATGTTAGTCTCATGTTGTGCCAAACTTTGCTAAAGCTGTTTCTTTTGGAGTTTTTAAATACCACATGCAAATACAGGCTTGTTGCAAGCATCTGGGGAGAATTTGCAAGATTATAAGTGATTAATTACTTAAATTTCTATCGCTTCTTTCTGTGTCTTTCGTCTTTTCTACTTTACATAAACTATCAAAGTGACATTTGTGTGTGTGTGTGCTTTTTTTTTCTTTTTGAAGCTGGTAGCTATGAAATCTAAAGATTCTTTAAATGTTTGTCTTAAAATACCAGCACATGTGTTTGAAATTATAAGAGGGTAGGAAGAAAGAATAAGGACTTCTTCTCCTCTTTCATACAACTGGTCTGCAAAAGCTTTACTGTAAGATATTTAAGGGCATTTTTAGAATCTGAATTTGTAGATCTCCTCTTTCTTAGATGGGGGTTGTCCAGAAAAAGGATCATCTGAGAGCAAGGACGAAACACCAAAAAGACACAAGGACTCATCCTCTCATGATCAGAGAAGTGGGTGGAGAGACAGGGATGCTGCGAATGAGGATTGCAGCAGTGAGGCCTCTGCTGATCAGGGTAAATATTGTACACTGTCTGTCTGATGAAATACTCTTAATTATTCTGTAATCAGGATGTAATCTTATTGCATTTCTGTCTCGCTATCCAGTTAAAAGGAAAAAAGGTTCAAGTTCCCTGAATGAACTTCAGCCTCCACCGTACCGGGACAAAGATGATCTCAAGGGTGGCTCAAGGGGCCGCAGTGACTCAGCAGAGGGCAGTGGAAGTGAAATCAGTGAGGGCAGTGAAGACCCTGAGGACACAGTGAGTTACCTGAATAAGGGCTATGAGGAGGACACACCTAGTGACAGCACAGCTGTTTTGGGCCCGGAGGTGAGCGATTCGGCCCGTCGTTTCCGATGTGTTCTTCTATGAGAATCACGGCCCCACCTTTAGATTTACAGATGAAACTGTCGAAATCTACAGTGTTGTTATGTCTCCAAGAGAGCTGTTCACTGCAGTTTATGTTGAGACAAATATTTGTAAATGTTTTTTTTTCACAAATCCCATGTGTTTTGACATGAGATTTTTTTTTTATTAATTTTGTTTTCTTTGAGTCAAAGTATGCAACGCCAAACTGATAATCAAGACACCTGTCATCCATTTATCTTTTTTCCCCATTCCTGTCTGTTTGGATTTCCATTCACTAGTGTCCATATTGTTCTCTTTTTAGACCATTGTTAAGTAATATTTTCAGTTGATTATTAAAATTAAATTTCATTGTCACATGAATGAGTCATATCACTGATGGTTTTAATTATGAGGAGCAAGGAGGACAGTTCAAGGATTCTCAGGCTGGGGTTTGGCTCATTTTGGCCACATCTGGTAAGTTTGCCTTTGAGTTTGCCTGTAATTGGAGACACTGAAAGCCTGAATACTGACATACTGTATACTTCTCATACTATACGAGAAGCCAGGCTACTTCAGTGGGTGTTGTATCATGAGGAATCATATTGCTTGATCTTTGGAGATAAAATATCATAGTAGAACTCGAAACGTCTCAGTTACGCACGTAACCCTCATTCCCTGATGGAGGGAACGGAGACATTATGTCGATGATGACATTAGGGGTCTTACTTGGGAGCCCGAATCCTCTCTGATTAAGAGAAATCAGCAATGAAATTTGGCTAGTGGATTTTGCATACCTGAGCCACTCCCCATGCATATGGGTATAAATAGGCGATAGGCATCCACTCATCAGGTTTTATGCTGAGGAGCCGAGAACTTGTCCCTGGCATCCAGCGATGGTTTGAGGTTGGGGCATGGGGACATAACGTCTCCATTCCCTCCATCAGGGAACGAGGGTTACATATGTAACCCTCGTTCCCTGATGGAGGGAACGGAGACATTATGTCGATGATGACATTAGGGGTCTTACTTGGGAGCCCGAATCCTCTCTGATTAAGAGAAATCAGCAATGAAATTTGGCTAGTGGATTTTGCATACCTGAGCCACTCCCCATGCATATGGGTATAAATAGGCGATAGGCATCCACTCATCAGGTTTTATGCTGAGGAGCCGAGAACTTGTCCCTGGCAACCAGCGATGGTTTGAGGTTGGGGCATGGGGACATAACGTCTCCATTCCCTCCATCAGGGAACGAGGGTTACATATGTAACCGAGACGTTCCCTATCTGTCGGTCACTTCCAGTTATTTCGATGACGACATTAGGGGTCCATGGAAAGCGCCACAACCTGAACCCCGTCACAACCCTATGGCATTGCAAATGTTGACAAGCAGCCATGTGTCAAAACTTGTTAAAGAATGTTCGGGCGCCAGTCAGGATTAATCCTGACAAAAAATGTTTTAATTAACCCAGGATAGCTAGAAAAGGAAACCACCTGTTACAATATTAAATAAAAACAGTCAGAGAAAACTGTTCACAAGAGAGATTTATTCCACAATGTCCATGAAAAAATAAAAAAAACTTGTCTGAACAATAAGAAACAAAAGAAGAAAAAATAAGCGGAGGAAAAAAAAAACAGTTCAGCACTTTAGTTCAATTCCAGTTTGAAATCCGTGTAGTAATTGCGTCACACTAATTCACTTTTACACCACGGCAGATTCACGTCCACAATCATTTATAAATTGTCCATAGAAAAAAAGAGGAAAAAAGAAACATTAAATAAAATTTTTTTTCATTTCATAGTTATGGAATAACATCAAACAACAATCTTAAAGCAACAATAACCATTGAACAATCATGGAAAACAATAAGCACACCGAATGTGCCGGGGTGAATGTTATGCGAGTGCGTGTGTGTGTAGTATTGAGTGAATGAGTGTGTGCACTGGCGGTGTAGAGGTACTGACCAAGTTTACAGTCTTGAAGGAAGCTGGAGAGTGTATCGGGTTGTCATCAGACACCAGGATAGGTGGATAAGCAGCTGACACTTGTATTCAGGACAGCCTTACTAAAACCAGACGATCTTGAAGTGCACGCTTTAAAAGTCAATTGAAACTCTGCGACGCACCAGACATCGCTCACAGGAAGCAACAGTTCGACAAGTGGCCGTCTTTCCACTTTGCATGGTAATCCAATCACTCTCACTACTGCAAACCTTACTGAGGACGCAATCACTCTCGGGTATGACTCACTTCCTTATATCCACCTTCCTTCCGCCGTTAATTGAAATACTCCACCCCAATCACGCAAAGTGAAAACAAAAGTAAACCGAAAAGATGTTGTGGCCCAAAGTTTTTTTGCACTGCCACATGTGTCAGACAAATGCTACGCAAGGGTCGTAACCTTCCCACCGCCCCAGCTCAAATTCGCTGACCTTGGTACCTACAGGGACCAAAGGTTAGTATATCGCTGCTGGTGATAGCCTTTCACCACAGAAATTTCTTAACAGAAGGGATTTCGACCTTCAATGAAAGATTGCTTCAAGTCTTTCCTATTTGTTGTTACAGCTTGGCAGTAATGATGGGGAAGCGAGCCTTCCAAAGAAGGGTGCTACGGAGGCCACATCCTACCCGTAGGGCGGTATCATGTGGAGACACTGATATGGACTGACCCAGGCCTGGGGCAGTACTACATATGGAATTGTCTCTGAGGCAGGTTTTTACCTGAGAGTAGAGATGGAACGACTGCCTGCAAAGACTGACAGAATGATTTGTCAAAGGGAAGTCAAGTCAAGTCACCTTAAAGCCTCGTGCACACTGGGACGATTATCGCGCGTGCTTATCGCCAGTGTTTTTCGACGCGTCTTGTGTGTTCATACCCAAGCGATTTTCACTGGCGATGAGCCGAGTGAACATACAAATTAATTCCCTGACATTATATGGCGCTTAATGAAAAACAGAAATACCCCGGTACACATTGAATCCTATTTGGTCTGCAATTCCTCTCCATAACAACTCCCTCTTATCAAGATTTTTGTAGGACAGTGCTGGATGCCGACACACTGAAAACAACAATCGTGGCCATCGATGGAGGACAAGAAACGACCACAACCAAGAGGACAAGGATGGAATGTCTTTAAAAAGATGCTAGCCATCCGTGATCAGAAACTGCTCTATTAGATGAAGCTCCCAGGATAATCGCTGAATTAACAGGGATGGCGCTGCCTGCGCCACCCAGAACAGCCTCTTCTTCCAGCAGCAGAGAGAATTCGCCTGATGAATCTCGAACTGTGTTCTATTACTATTGTAAAATGAAAAGTCAGCCAGACTTTTCACTTCTCCTGCAACTGTGTAGCACCTGCAACTCAGCATATCTTTCCAAAGGCTCCTAACAATGGGAAAGACCTGCTAACCTTTATTCTTAAAAAGTTTCCTGATCATTTATGTCAGATGTTTATAGTTTATTTCGGTGTGGATTATGATACGCTGTCACAACATGATACAAGACTAAATGGGCAGATTGGAAAACAGTCATAAAAAGTAAACTATGACATCAAGAAGAAGAAGATAACTAAAAAAATATGTGATATGACCTCCTTAATGATCTTTATTGTACCACCTTGTCGCCAACACAGGCAACCTCAAGAATTTTGAGCTGTTCATTTTAAATGCAGATGCATAATTTACAATTTCTGAACCCTCCATTTCCTCTATCCCACCTGCCCCGTCTCTCCCTTTCTCTGACAGGATAGCTTACTTCCACCCCTTCCAGAAACATATGAACCAGAGGCACTGGGGAAATATGGCACACTGGATGTGGCATTTGAATATGACCCTAGCGAGCAACGGCTTGCGGTGACAGTGACCGCTGCCACAGATATTCCAACCCTTAAGAGCACAGGGAACATTTCCTGGCAGGTCCACCTGGTTCTACTGCCCACCAAAAAGCAGAGGGCCAAGACAGGAGTGCAGAAGGGACCCTGTCCCATCTTCACAGAGACATTTCGCTTCTCATGTGTGGAGAAGGAGGCCTTGGGGGACTATGCAGTCCGGTTCCGTCTCTACAGTGTGAGGCGCATGAAGAAGGAGAAGGTCCTAGGGGAGAAGGTGTTCTACTTAACCAAACTCAATCTGCAGGGCAAGCTTGTTCTGCCTGTTACACTAGAGCCTGGCACTTCTGTTCCTGTAAGCAGTGTTTGTGTGCATGCAGTATACATTGTCCTTAACCAATCCGATTTCAGAGTCAGAATTATCCATTTTATAATGGTAATCCTTTAATGTCACTATTCTTCAGGGCTGTGGATCAGTGGTGAGTGTCTCTCGTAGTGCGGGAGCTCTGTCATATCGCTCCACTGGTGAATCCTCCGCTCCAGAGCTTCTGCTGGGTCTCCTCTACAACTCCACCACAGGAAGATTGTCCGCCGAGGTTATCAAAGGCAGCCATTATAAAAACTCTGCCACCGATAAACTGCCCAGTAAGAAATCCACGTGTCCACCTGCACAATCCTCTTAAAAGCAAACCCGTTTCATGCATGTGCATTCTTAATGCTTTTTCTGTGTTCTGCTTGTGATTTAACTGCTCTCGTTTTATCTGTCAACTCTATTTTCTATCACATTCCTTTTTTCTGTGTCCTGTCTTGTAGTTGGTCTGTTTTGTTGTGTAAAACACTTCATTAGTGGGCAACTATATATCATGAGAGGTAAGTTTACTGCCATGTCGAAAGTACAAAACCACCCATTCCACTGCATCTGCATTTTATTGATGTTGTTTGTTCAGTCAAGTCTCTTTGCACTGTATTGAGATGTACAGAGATATGCGGGTAGAATCCTATAGAATACATTTAAACAGTTTTGACAATAGTCAGTCAATAGTAAATGAACACCATGTCTTGCTGGAAGAGTAATACCATTAGTAGCCCTTCAAAGACATGTCAATAAACCCAAAGTCAGCAAACCAAGGGGTTAAGGTTTGGCTAGTTATTATGGTCCTACTAGCCACTGCTGGACAATATTTACCTGTGGCTCTAGCTCTAGAATCATGTCACATGGCTTTTATGGGTAATTTGATTGGCTCAGCACAATTTGGCTGCAGAACACAGTGCCCATGAGCTGCAAGGAGCAAAGATGGCAGATTTTTAATCACATTCTTCAGGGTCCCAAGAAACTGCCATCAAGAAGAATGAGAATGCTAACAGTTAGAATTACCCAGAGCATGCAGAACATTCAGTAATAACTATTAGTTGGTAGAGACATAAGGGACATTTATGAGTGGTTAACAATAACTAACTCACCAGTGGTGAATCCCAGTTTGCATACTGCAATGGTGATGTCAAAGAAAGTTTAACTTTTTTACTTGCACTTTTTGGTTGTTAGTATCTTTCTAACTTTACTAACCTTAAAAAAAGTCAGTGATTTAATGTTCATACAGGTAAACACTGCAAAAGGAGCTTTGCCTTGAATTCATTGATCATATTTCAACAAAGCAAATGCTTGTTACAAATCTCTGAGAACACACAAAGCATTACAGTGTTAGCTCAAAATGCATTCATAAATTATACTTTGCAGACCAGAAACAGTGTTATCTGGGTGCTGATTGCCAGTGTGCTCTGATTTGGCCAATATTTACCCAGTATCTCTATGGCTATGTTTGGAGTAGTATACTATCATGCTACTTTTACTATTGATGCAGTATAGAGTATGTATACTGTGCACAGCATTAAAATTAAGGTTGTGGCTAGAAGAGATACAGCTAAAGCCAGAAGCTAACAATAACTTGTTTTCTACCTATTAGATTGTTTTATTAACATCTACTCCTACCCCAACCCTAAATCTACCCCTTACAATAATGCAAAAACAGTAATTATTGTTGTACAGT